CCGGAAGTTGCTGTCAACTTGCTTATTTCAAGAGGAACACCCTGTGTATAATTACATTTTGAGTTTCGGTGTGAAATTCAAAATTTATTTTGTATATAATGTCCTATACCTATTACTACTATACTATACTATTTTTGAAATGTATTTTGCAAACTTTTGTAGGTTTACATTTTTGTTATTTTTGTTTTCTACTTTTATACAAGGTGTCCAAAATTAGGCTGTAAATATTCACATTTTCAAAGTTTCTAAGCTATGATTTTCAAAATATATCTTTAACTGTCATCAAGTTAAACACTTATTTCTCTATCAAATGAAATAATTAGGTTTTTGATGGTATAATATTTGTTAGGCTGAACATTTTCTCATATACGTACTTGGCCATGGAAAACCAATTATTGTTTTCGGTTGTCAAACATGACAACTAATAATTAGTATACGTTGTATGTCGACAGCTGTCACTAACAAAATTAATATCACACAATTGCTCATAGTGTCAATTTGTTTTAGATTCACGGTGAATGTTACAAAGTGGCGGGAGCAACCTGTCGCATTTTTGATGTACGACATCCCCATTCGTCGCCAAGACAAAATTCAAGAGCAAATGACTAAAATAGAAGCACAATTTTTTATTCATGGTCCGATATTTCAAAAACGGTTTCACATAGCTATGAATCTCAAAATGTAACAATATACCGGGTGTTCCATTTGAAATAAGCAAGCTCAAAACAACTTCCTGGTGAGTGACAGAAGTGACAGCACGTTGAAAATTGTTTTTTGAATAAAGCGCACTTGGCACTTGCCTTAACTCGAAAAATTGAATGGCGTTTCTGAATTACTTCTCAATAAACTTTTAATGAACGGGTTGATAAAAAAAAATTGTATAGCCTGACTTTTGGACCGTCAAGTCATAAAACTTCATTTAAACATTTCATTAATCTAAAAATTTCTGTCACTTATTTTACGTCTTATGTCACGGTCTTAAGTTATTATCTTTTCTCAAGTGGCGATTTGTATGTACTTCAACGATGTGCATGTACGCCGTTCCTAAGTTTTTTTTAGTACTTATCTAGCAAAAAAAAAATCAGTATAGTACATAAAATTTTAATAACATAGTTTAATTCGGCTCGACTAAAACTGCCAGACACCACCACAAAAATTTGAATTTTACTCTACCTTGACCGAAATAAATTATTTTATATATTCAAAACTATATCTTCCTATTACCGAAGTGTCCTATGGATTGTTGATTCAAAGTTCCAAATACTTACTGTTTGTAATGCAAAACAAATTCATTTCTTTTCAACCTTAGGTAGATTAGGGTAATGAACTGAAGCATAAAAAACAACACTCCGCCACGTAATTCCCCGAAATTGCCAATGTTTTGTGCATGGGCACCCACAGGTATATACGAGAAAGGAGAATCTTTAATTATCAACACAGCGGATAGTTTAATTCAAATAAAAGGGATACATAATGCTTATTTTATAGGAATAACATTGCTATTAATTTTTTCAGTCTGTATTACTAAAAACGGCACTGAATTTAATAAAGAAAAAATATATTTCACAATTATCCTCACCTAGTATTTTAAGATAAATCACAACTAATTATAATTTTTGGTACTCCCTTCTGTAAAATACTAGTTATATACAGATCTATCGTGCGGGAATCGTCACTTTTCCAGGTGAGTTTCCTGACCCTTGAATCCGAGTCCTGTCGTTTGAGATAAAAAAATTAAATTCTCGTGACTCAAATGCCGTTTACCGCACTTGTTGCATAATATACTATTAACTATTTAAAAAAAATCATCACCTGTAACCAACGTTTTACACATTCTTTGGAATGATAATATTCGTTTTTAAAGAAAAGTTGATGGCGAAATGATTCCACATTTTAAAATTATTGTACGCATAACTCTTATATTAACCCCATATAATACCTAAAACGCCAGTCATCATTTAACGAAATGCTAGGATATGTAAGTTAAAGTCAGTGTTATCCGATGCTTGGCTAAAAAAATCGAAAAATTGGACAAAACATTTAGAAAATAGTATATTATGCAACAAGTGCGGTAAACGGCATTTGGCTCACGAGTTTATTTGACACGAGCGGAGCGCAGCGTAGCGAGTGTTTAATAAACGAGTGACTTAAAAAGTTTACCGAACGTGTTGCGCACTATACTTTTTCTACGACAGTTAGTTTTTGGGTACATTTTCAAAAAACTTCTAAGCGAGGGGTGGTAAAGTTTTGCTTCCCGCACGTTAAATCTGTGTGTAATTAGGCATTTTACAGACAGGAGTAGAAAAGATATTTAGATGTTCTTGACATCTGCTTTAGTTCTTGAACTGATTTCGCATGAGAATGGTTATTCTCTCCTTGTTACTTTAAGGAAAAGACAAATAAGAGGAACAGAAGGAGAAACGGAGGCAGAACGTCTTCCTATTAAAACTTCTTTCCTCAGTTTCAAAAATGGCCTGCTGATATCTACCGCATATTTTCTGAGGTACGTTTAGTGGATGTAACCCCAACTAGAGTACTATCGCCACCACCGAAAATATCAAAAATAATGTTTTCTCTTATTACTTTCTGACATATTGGAGTTAGGTAATGCCTGGTGCTTTTATTGGACGTAATTAAATTTTTTATTGCCCCACACTTCAGGAAAACAGATTATGGCAATACGATCCAGATAGATTTAACGATCGTCCTAGTTTGTTGCTCTGGAGCTTTTACGCATTTTATTATCCCAAAAAATATTGACGGAACCAGTTAGGGAACTCCGGCAGCTGTAACTTTTAAATTGACCGATTAATAGCGAAATAACCGCCGCCCAGTCGTTAACAGCAAACTGAGCTCGGAGAGCCGCAATTGATTTAAACATTTACCCGGATATTATATAACGTGCAGCGTATTGATAGCATTCTGGGAAAATCGCTCATCTGAATTTAATGTATCATAAGTAAATATTCATCATTTTAATGGCGGCGGACCGCAAATTTAGGCAGTAAAATTGTTATTTCTACTGAAAAATCAGTTGCCAAATGGCTGATGTATTGACTATAAAATCGCTTTCTCTGAATTTAGCATTCGTGAATAGAAATTTTTGACTCAATCCCAGAAATTACAATTTGTTTTTTGTCGATTTTTCCATTAAAATGGGGTTGAAGGACTATACATATTTAAGAAATGTCAATTATTTGCATATGATTGATGTGTGAATTGGTGTAAAGAGCTGACAAAATATTTCCAGTCGAACTATAGTGGTGTTGCCATGCGAGAAAATTTTAAAAGTAGCACTGCGGCGGGAAAACATATTTTTGTGTATTAAAAAATTAATTATTGGCTGAATCAGGAAATATCTGTATATTTTTAACACAAGCCTTATATACTTCTAAAACTTTTTTCTTTACAAATTTAATTCTCTTAAACTTGTAAAAACGATACCTAAAAACAAAATATTTCATGTTCATTGATTTATTGAACATGACATCCAATTAAAATTTTCCTTTAGGCATTTGTAAAAGTGAGAGCTTTTCAAATGTCGATTCAATATTTCTAACCGAATTTGTGAAGGCACTTTTTTCAAAATAATTTTTACCGAAACAGCATTTCTTTGTTTTAAATTAACATTTTTATTAATGTAGGATAAAGATGAGTAAGTTGACTTTTTAAAGTAAAAGAAAATATTTGGGCGTTCAAAACATGAGACAATTAAAAACGTAAAAGAACGTACCAATTGCGGCCAAGATAACTGTCATTTTGCCAGCCTTCCGCTCTTTCTTTTCTCTTTACAGATAGTTTATTCTTACAGATATGCATAGCGCTATAGAAGCTGCCAGTATAATAGTAGTAGTAGTGCTTTAAGACCATGTGTTTTCAGCCAAAAAAATTACCGATGTTCCTGAAAACGTGCCAGTTTCTGTTGATGTAGTGAATCATCGGTGCCATTTCTATTGCTAAGAAAATGATCCAGAATGATAATCCCAAATTATATGTATGGAAGTATGTATCCTTTATACATTTAGATCGTTTTTTGCAGTCTTCAACTGTAGGTTTTAATCTTCTACTGAAGATGCCAACTTGGTTGGCGAAACGCGCGTCGAGTACCTGAAATTGAGTTTCGGTTTGTGGTAAAACGCGTTATTGTGTGTTTCAACTGTAAGGAAAGAAAAAATTAGCAGTGAGGTATTCTGAGAACCACAAAATATAGATAACTTCTTGAGCAAATTAATTATTTTAGTAAATGTTCGATAATATACATATATTTTAGTTGATTGTAGGTTTATGGCAACTGGTGAAAGCTTCAAATCTCGTGGATTTGCCTTTAGAATTTCACCTAGCTATATCATCATAATTATTAAGAAAACACTAGCTGCGATACGCAAGAATTTAATACCTATCTTTTTGTCGCCACCAACCAAAGAAGTTTTAAAAAAATGGTGAAGAATTTTGGGGTAGCTTAAATTTTCCTAACTGCGTGGCAGCTATAGACGGCAAACATGTCAGAATTTTTGCACCAGCAAAATCTGCTTCTTTACATTTTAATTGTAAGGATTACTTTTCTATAGTTCTTGTAACGGTTGATGCAAATTATAAATTTGTTGCTTTAGATGTAGGGTCATATTTAAAGGAAGGCTACAGTGCAATTTTTAATAAATCTACATTTGATAAAAAAAATGTTGGTTAATGAAGACTTTTTTCCATCTGATCAAAAATTACCAAATTCAGACAGAGTTTTACCATACGTAATTATTTGTGATGAAGCCTTTCGTTTGCACAAGAATATTATGAAGCCTTTTAATAAAACTTCAGCAAATTCTGAAATATCCAAAGGGATTTTTAATTATAGACTGACCCATGCACGGAAAGTCACCGAAAATGCATTTGGTTTACTTTGTCAGGTTTTTAGTGTGTTTTATACTCATATAAATGTAAAACCAGAGGTTTACGATGATTTCATTTTTGCCGCTTGTTGTTTGCACAATTTATTGAGGAATGTATACTTGGGAAAAAAATTATTCCCGTATTACGAATATGACTCAAATGAACAAAATATGCAAACCTTGCATAATTTTAGAAGAGCTGGAGGTTTTCAAGATTCTGATGGATTTCGCATCAGAGACGAGGTTATGTTCGTGCGAGAAGGAATTAGGAAGGAAAATAGAGCATAAATTAAAAATAATTTATTCTATATATGTAACTACTTATTTCAAGTCTTGTTTTATTATAGCCAGATTATTTCTCGAATAAATAAGTCTATAACAAAGATTAGAAACTCAAAATAAAAATATATAGGTATGACGTAGGAAGCGAAAAAAATATTTGCTGTTTAAATAACTCTTGTGAAATAATCGCTGGTAAACAAGCTCTAATGAGACTTCTGTCGCATATAAAAAATGCTGATAGTTTGCAGACAATTCGGAGCGTTCCCGCCAGTTTTCTGGAGGACCGCAGCCAGTTTTTACCGAATTTTAGTTTAAATGAGAGGAAAGGTAGTTATTCCGGTTGGTATGTGGTAGAAAAATTAGCTAACAACTATAACTAGGCTATTAAAATGTACAAGTCATTTCGCAGATTTTTGATTTAACCATTAAAATAGCATAAATTTATTTACAACGTGATAATAACCTTCTTTTTGTAATTCTTTAGAGGCCTTTTTTCAACAATTTTCTTTAATAATAAAATTTTTGTTATTTTTGTTTTCATAATCGTAAATTACGGGATATTTTTGTATTTCTTTGATTAAAATTTCATCGTCATTTGAGGTAAATGACGCCAGTGCAGCTTCTGGAGAGCCAGTTGGTAGCCACCGCAGCCAGCCGTGGCACCGAAATCGCACCTTTACCCCCAAAACTAAATATTTTCTTGACACTTGTGTCACACACTTGATCTATGTCCTTATGACATTTCGATGGACCAAATGTCAAAACGTGTCACGCGTTGATCGAACGGTTATATAAATAATTTACGTAGTTTCTACAACATAGTAAATGAGTATTCAGCTGAAGATGCGTAAGAAATCGCTTGGGGTGTGGCTGATGAGAATAAACGACAAGAAAAAAATCCGAACGGGACAGAAAAAAACAAAATTTCATCGCAAAGAATGCAACTGCCAGCACGGCCCCAACAAAAAGTTGGAGTTTCCGACCATTTGGGAACAGTTGAGAATCAACCAACAACTTTGCGACGGGACAGTGCGTTGCGATGACGGCGTAGAATTCAAAATTCACCGCATCATCCTTTGTACAGTGAGTCCATATTTTAAGGCCCTTTTTACGAACTCGATCAATAGGGGCCAGCCAGAAATACAGGAAGCGAACGTCAGTATTTCCAGCGACGCATTCAAAGTGGTTCTAGATTACGCGTATACGGGAAATTGCGTGATTAATAACGCAAACGTTTTCGAAGTTTTACAACACGCCGATAAATACGAAATTCTGGACGTCGTGCAAGAGTGCTGCCGCTTCCTCATTAATGAGTTGGCTCCGGGCAACTGTTTGCAGATCATCAAATTTGCAAGTCAGTATTTTTGTCGATACCTCGTCGACGCTGGCAACATGTTCGTTTTGCGCCATTTTAACGAAGTGCTGAGAGAGAACGACGAATACCGCAACATGTCTGGCGCGCAATTGAGGTCATTTTTGGCGGACGATTACTTGAATGTGAAATCCGAAGATTCCGTGTTTGACGCGATTCAAACGTGGTTCGCCCATTGCCCAGAAGAACGCAAAAGTTGCCTCTACGATTTGTTAAAATGTATCAGAATGGGCAACCTATGTTACGAAAGTATCGTGGAGATGGCGAGGTGGACGCCGATCGAGGAAGACACCCGTTGCACCATCTACATGACCGACGTGTTGACGATCCTGGACGAACAGTTCGATAACGTCAACTTCGTGAATTACATGAACCGTCCGAGGGTACCGTACGATGTGGTGTTCGCCGTGGGCGGCTGGAGTGCGGGCAGTCCTACCAATTTTGTGGAAATCTACGACAACAGAGCCGAAAGATGGCTCGTTTCCAAAGATACCGACGTGGTCGCGAGAGCGTACCACGGCATGTGCACTTACAACAACAAAATCTACTTGGTCGGTGGTTTTGACGGCAATGAGTACTTCAACACCGTGAGATGTTTCGACCCGGTGAGGCACGCGTGGACCGACTGCGCCTGCATGTACTACTCCAGGTGCTACGTAAGCGTTGCCTACTTGCGCAGCCATATCTATGCGTTAGGGGGTTATAACGGAAGGATAAGGATGAATTCCGCTGAGAAATACGACCCCATCAAAAACCAATGGGAACTAATACCGTCGATGATTTATCCACGGTCCGATGCAAGCGCGGCAGTTTTAAACGATAAAATTTACATCGTGGGTGGGTTTAACGGGCAGGAAGTCATGAACTCGGCAGAGATGTTCGATCCGGATACCAACCAGTGGACGATCATTTCCTTCATGATAACCGCTAGATCTGGGGTGAACCTAGTGTCGTTTAAAGACAGCCTGTATGCTATCGGTGGCTTTAACGGCTACACGAGATTGACTAGTTCGGAGAAGTTTACGCCAGACGTATCCTCCGATTGGACCGAAATCAGCGAGATGGAGGTCCCGCGAAGTAACTTCGGAACTGTTATTTTGGACGGATATATCTACGTTATAGGTGGTTTTAACGGCTCCACGACCATCAATTCCGTCGAGTATTACGACACCGTTGCCGACGAATGGGACAACGCCGTGTCGATGAACTTGAACCGATCGGCGCTGAGCGCTTGTGTGCTGAGCGGATTACCCAACAGCAAGGATTACTCGCTGTTGCATTTTCGCGAGAAGAATCGCGACGATAGCGCCAACGCTTAGCGTATGCAATCCATTCTAGCTGTATATGCTGCTTATACAATTTTATTAAAAACGTTGCTATAATCTGTGCTCGTTTAACTTCGTAGCTTTAACTGCTTAAACATTAAAATTAAAATACCTGCATTCCAGTTGAACGATTTCAATACACGGGATTCCAAAATTTAAGCTTTAGGATCAGTTTTTGTTTTAACAAATTAGACGCCGCATATTTCGGTTGCGGATTAAAAAAAATACTTCAACTAACATTTAATAGAAATTGAGACAAGAAACTTAACTACTTGGATTTGTTTAATTAATTAAGGTTTAGGTAAGGAAATTGCAAAACAATTGTTGCTAGAATTATGTGTATTATATTTTACTTTATACAAAACTTTTGGATTCCTCCTGCGTCGGTTTTTGCTGAGTTGAACTTGTTGACGTTTCGCCAATCATCTTCTTCAGAGTTTGACTGAAACTGGCTCCTGTATTATAATTTATTCGTCTCATTTTTTAGCGTTTCCTTATTAATCAAAAACTAAGAAAAAGATTAATTCAAAGTAATGCCATCCAGAGAAAGCGCAACGTTTTAATCGTCTAAATCTGTCCCCAAGTGAAAGCAGCACCACTGCTCCTTGGAATGGGGGAGATAATGTTTCATTGTCGGAACTAAAAGAACTTCGAACTTCCATTGTCTTTATTTGACTTAATTACAAAACGTTTCAGACAGTGATCCATCTGTCTGAAACGTGTATTTAAGTAGAATAAAAACAATGGATGTACGAAGTTTTTTTTAGTTTCAGCACCACTGTTGTCGTATTGGGATGGAAATAGCCACGGATTTTATTGACGGATAAAGGAATCTCCTTACGCGTCGTTCAAATCTTTATCTTCTACGTGCTGTTAAATAACAAGGCAAATTGTTGTCAATTCTCCTTCTCTAAGAAGATTATTCAAACGTAAGCATAAAAGCGAATTTTCAACTTTGAAGGACCATTAGTACTTTTGGGTGATATACTTCACTACCGAGAAATAGATCACATTAAAACAACGTACTTAAAAAGATATATACACGGTGACCACAAATTGTCAAAACTTATTTTATAAACATTTACTTTTAAACGCTTTAGTCGCGATGTTGAATATGACAACTATTAGCTAAATTGAAGGCACCCTATAACGTAAGGATTTTCTCCTAATTTTTGGATGACGAATCGTAAGAATAGGTAAAAGAAAAGTAATTAATTAAAAACCACTACGATTTTGCCTAATTTCAAAGATAATATTTTCCCGAATTGCCTACTCGATATGTTTTTGAATTACAGCTAAACGCTTCAGAAACTATATTTTTTATTGTTTATTTGAATATAAGTTCTAGACATCTATCTACAAGGTATTTAGATAAAAACTAGTCTGTCTAAGTTAATGCAGAGCCCAATCCTTTCAAATGAAAGAATTTCAATTTATTAAAAAAATAATTGAAACAAAGGCAAGTCCAGAATTCAATATTCACCGTAACCTGCAGATTTCTTGATGTGACAAATCGTAATGTCAAAGCGCTCAAATTCAAAAATCTATCATTGTTCATCCAGTTGTTCCTTGTCCACAGCACAGCACCTGTTATGAGCAATGAAAAATACTCAGTTTAATACTTGGCAGCTTGGCACACATCAATCCAGATATAAATTTCTTGTTTGATACTTCATATTCACATCTAACGATGATACCAAAGATAGAAGAATAACATATAAAATTTAAATGATATCTCATAAATGTCATAAGAGATAGTGACGAGCATTGCTTTTCCGTTGCACACTTATATTTTCGTGATTAAAAAAGCTCTTCTTGTAATCTGGAAAACTTAATCGTTTGACATTAAATGTATTATTTCATTTAATAACTTTTATAAAAACGTAATTGAAAAACAAAATGGCAAGAAATGCTGGGGCTATGCATTGACTTAAACAGACACCTAATAGTGTCAAACATTAAGTATAAAACTGGTTTTCCTCTAAACATTCTGTCCATACTTAAAACTTACATTTATATGAAAATGTTATTCATAACATCGTTTTCAGAGAATTAAGCTACAGTTTAATAAATAACCAAATCGAGTTAGAACATATTTGAATTTTACCAACACTTGTAGACGCAAATGAGAAAATATCCTTCTAACGAGGCTAAATCATGGCGAAAAGCTGTAAATATAACAACCTTACTTAATTGTGAATTGGATTTTATTCTAGAAACAACGAAGGGAGCTGGGTCTGAAAAGATTTTGGGCGGCAGTGAAAACTTCTAATAGCAGTTCCGGGTCGCAGGATCACGCAGGAGATGAAGACCTACCTCCTGACTATGCGAAAGGACCTAATTGTTCGTTACCTTTACTGCAGGTAAAAGCAAATTTTATTTCCTATTCTATTTGCGAAAAATATATACGAATATATGCGAAACATGAATACGAATAATGCATTTTCGAAACTTACGCTGTCCTTTTTAGGACGTAAAGGCTATTAATAATAGCCTAATTAATAACGTCTAATTCTCATTTCTTAACTTCATTTCATGCACAAAAGGTGATTAAAGCGTTTCACAGTTGTTAAATAAAAAATATTTATGATGTGGATTGTATGATTTACTAAACAATAGTGAGAATTTCAAGAAGGGATATGCGTCGTGGTATGAAAATATGAAAAATTAAAATTTGCTTATTTAGTACCTATGGGGGGCCCCTAATCTTCTATTACCATTTTTAGTAATTGTTGAATTAATTTTAAATCTAATTCATCTAATAATTTTAGCTATTCGATTGACTGCCAATTATATTGGCCGGCCATATACTTTTAACTTTATTAGGAAACGTTGGCCAATATATAAATATATTATGAATGAATATTTTAGTCCTTACTCAAATTTTATTACTAATCTTAGAATCAGCATTGAGTTAGCAATAATATGACCTTCAAAATCAATGTCCTTATATATTATTATTATATACATGTATTTAACCGTGACTGTTTTGTTGATCGGACTAATGGATTTACACACTCTCAACAAAATTCGTGAAACATCTGGTTGTGACGTACATAGGAAATTAATTTAACTCGTTACAGAAGTTTTCGATTAATTTCAATTATCTGCGGTCAATGTAATTTCGGGAGATAACCAACTATAGGATATAACGGCCAATTTATAGGCTTGAACTACAAGTTAGGCTATCGATTTAATTAGAGACGACCCTGAAACGGCGTTATTAACATCAACCCCTAAATACGTATCCAGCTGTGGAAACCACATCATATTTCTAAGTCGGCTTTTACGTTTACTCGTTTAAACACTTTTGCGTGTCAGCGAAGGGACCTACATTTTTAACTTATAGGTCCCACGAAACCTATAAATTGTTTATATGGTGTAAAACTTTCAGGTATGGCCGAGCTCGGATTCTCCCAGAGGTGAGGCTGATGGTCAAAGTTTTGTCTTTCCGGAGTGCACCGACGACAACGTCTCGCAGCATTCGACGTGTCTCGATGCTATCCAACACACGGACTCCGGAATTGAGTCGACTCAGGTAAACGGAGTCTTACCTCTCTTATTATTACATGCTCAGAAATGACTTATGAGAATTTGAAAAGTAGCAATAAGACATAATAGTAGTAAATTGTATGTTTACTACTATTATGTCTTATTGCCAAAATTTTTTTGGAAAAGCTATTGGCCCGTATCCAACAATCAATTTTCCATCCAATTTGCTTATTTATTTTTTTAAATTTTGAATTCTGACAATTATATATTGGTCAGGAACTAAAGTAATTGTATATAAAGAATATAAGAACTTGAGTGTAATCTTTGAATATAAACTTACATGTCGTACACAGGTTTCCAAAGTTCTTCAAAACTCTTGTATACATCTCCGCAACATATATAAAAGTAACCCGAATTTTAAGTTAAACTCATTCAAGTTACTGTAATTTTTTCTATAGACCCTACCCCTATGTTTTGACTAAATACGTATTACGCGTTTTTCTTCATAAACTATCTAAAGTAGATTGGAAGTCCCTTATACTTATTGGAAAAAATTAGTTTTAGACATTGCGTTCATTTTCACGGAATTCGTTTAACTGTCAGTATGAACTATCCAAAAATTAAGAAAACCATGACTAAAAGCCACATTGTATACATCTGTTGGACTGCTTAATCGATACTGCCATACTAGCCAAGCACAGAATATCTCTCTTTTGCGGTTTTAAATTTCAATTAAAAAACATCTTTTAATTAAGAATTTTCCTTTATGCAACATTATGGTAATGTATCCTTTTCTTTTTTGTTTTATTTTAGATTTTTATCTGTATATGCCATGTTAGATGCTCGGTTAAGTTTACAGCTTAGCTGACGTTCGCCGAGCTTAAAATAAAGACAGTTTTATTTATAATTTGTTTTTAATTGCAAACTAAAAATAGATCAATAAAGTGAACTAAACAAATAACATTATCCTGAATGAATAAGAAAATTTCTGGTAAAAACTGTTTTAGCATAAACCATACAAATTTAGTCACTTTTTAAATCGATTAAAATCGTGCTGGTTCGTCAAATGCGACGCGCAAATTAAACAGGTCGCTCCGGGTAAAACTTAACCAAACCGATAATTTATTTAATTAATATTTTATAATATTAAACACTATTTTCATTATACACACTACTTATAATTTATATAAAGTCGATCAGTTGATTTTTTCGACTGACTACCATTTATAGAACGCAGCACCTCCTAGCGATGAGGATTGGATATTGCATCTGTTTCTGCAAGCACATTCCGATTTCCGCGTACCCGAGTTTCTTGGAACTCAGACAGACCCAGCCCATCGGCTTCACTAAATGCAAAAAAGTCTTTAAAAAGTAGATTATATTTTTTTGTGATATTTTTTTCTGATTATTACTAGCAAGGAAATGGTAAACCAAAACAAATTTTCAAATATTCATTTACAAACCCAAAAGTTGTGCAAAGTTCGGTGACAAGAGAAAAAAACTGTTGAAAACTATCCGAAACTCCGGCAATGTTAAAATTAGATCAAAATAAAAACTGCGGAAAAACGTTCACTGGAACTGGAATTAAGGCTTATAACGATTTTCTTCGGAGAACTCTTTACAAACCTAGAAACTTTCGTAGCTGAAAATTTGCGAATTTCTCTAGGCGATAAATTGGATAGGTTTTATCCGAAAGATATAAATTAATTATGTCCGGTCTTTGAATGTCTGTAATGTATTGGCAATAAAATTTAACGTAAGGTCGCCCTAGAAACATGTGAGAATTTATAAGAATAACACTTTTCATGCTTCCTCTCTTAAAATCTACAGTTGAAAAAAAGAGTCTAAATTTCACTCAAACAGATTCCAAAACTCGAAAATACCCCTGGAAAGTTACCTGTTCAAGAATACCCAAATAGTACTTTGTTTAGGTGTCCCCCTTACCTCCACTCGCTCCAGCGTCACCGGTCACTTCGCCTACTCCGAGCGTGCGGAGACCTAGCAGTACGCTCCTGCATCCCGACCACGCGAGAATTTTCCGGTTGTACCAACATCACTCTTCCCCCGAGCAAACATCGATGGAGGACATTTCAGACCAAAACAATCATGTGATATCGCCATCCTCTTCAACGACGTCGTCGTTAAACTCCATAGCGGCTGTTGGTAAGTAAGTTTCAACCTTTTTCAATGGTTCCTACCCAGTTTGTCTGAAGATATTTCATATTTATTGATCCAAATTTGATCCAAAACACCGTGCTGCTATTCTAATGGCAAAAATACTCACAGACTGCAATTTCTCTACATCATCGATATGGTGGTTCAAACAATGGTAACGGGGAATGAAATGATTCATCATCTTAGGAACTGCAAATAATATCATTAAAGAGATGATCAATATTTTTTCTTCTTCCTTGATTTATGTTGAACCAATTCGCCAGTTTTTCACTTAATTTTTATATAGTGACGTATACTTATTTTTCTACTCAACCAATGTAGGACTTTGAAATTTATTAATATAACCTCTACAATAATTGAAAGAAATAAAGAATTCATCAAAGCTTTAATCTGGCTCAGTGGTCTGGTAAACGACACAAAGAACATCACTTTTAATTAAACCGTTGTAACCCAGTGGAAAACTTCATTTGACTGCCGTGTAGCATTCGTTTGAGGCAATATCGAACGCTACACAACAAAATCGGGAGTATTTTCTCGCACTTGCTTTGTTCCCCGCAAAACAATCTCGCGTGCTTATTCGAAACATCTTACCTTTCAATTTTCAAATAACGAGATTTATTTTTCGTCAACACGCAAAGTCCTAATTCTCAAAAAAGATCTTATCGAATCGCCGGTTCAGCTATTTTTGAAGCTCAAGAATTTAAGTTTCACGTGTCTCAAAACGTCTCATTATTGTGGTTTGTAAAAAAATAACGCAGTCAACAACATTCAACTACAAAATTAAGGGTGATTCATTAATAACCATTCAACTATTTAATTATTATTGAAAATATATGCAGTATTCCATGAACAACGTTCCCTGATAATTGGATTTTTCTTTCTAAAACAATAGTAAACGCAGCAATCATTCGGTGTGACAGAGCGTGTTACAAAGCTCCATCTTGGCACCTCTGTTTCTCGCAGCATAAATCTCTGATTTTCCTTCAGTTTTGAACCAGGTATCTCTTGAGTACCAACTGAGTAAACCACAGAAACAGATAAATATAATAAAATTATAAAGAAAATTCAACAATGAACGATGTGGGTATAGAGTTTCAAACATTTTTTCCTTGATAATGAGCTCGCGTAATTAGACGGTTGCACGGTTGTATATCATGATAAAAAACACCTAATGCTCCCGGTGGGAATCGAACCCACAACCTCCGTCAAGTCGAGTTGGCAGTGCCTGACTTTAAAACTTAAGCAAAAATCAATACTATCGATGGATACCAACCTACGATTCACGAAACATGTCAATTAACTCATACTGCTATTGACATCAAAGAAAATCCCACCAAATAATGGGTTCGAACTTTAAATGTGCGTCACTAATTACATGCTGATCCAGTATATGGCCCGGCTTTGACGTCGAAACATAGTGACAGATTTCAGAAAGTTCAAAAAAAGTTCAGATTTTATTACATCATTTAAGTCAATTATCATCCCATAAGTCTTCCCCCACGCCTTTTTCCCGAACATCGTTACCGATTCCCTCTCTCCAGCTTTTGGATGGTCTTTCTCGTTTTCTTCTACCTTTTGAGTTCTAACTCAAGATTTTCTTTGGTATTCGTTCTTGCGACGTTCTGTGAACATGTCCATAACACACTAATTGTTGGGTTCTTGGGTTGGGTATTGCTTTGTCCAGTGCTTCGTTCTGAGAGAATTTCATTCCTACATATTTGCATCCTTTGCAATGCTTAAGTGTTTATCCCATTGCTAGTCCCAGATCCTATTGTTGCCCTCCAATAGATATATACTCGGTTTTATCGACGATCTAGATCCCATTTGTCATACTCCTCAATCAATGCCATGTATTCGATGTCATCGCTCTTTTATGCAACAACATCAGCGAAAGATAGAGTATAGACTGTATAATCGTCTTTTACTGGTCTTTGTTTGTTGCTTATTTTATTTATTTATTGCATTTGTTTTCTTTATTATTGAAATCAACCCTGCTTTATTTTCTGCTTAAGTGGAGTGTACTTTCGTTTTCCAAGCTAATCGTGTTAAATCTTAGAGCCACCTTTTTGTACTCTTACTTTCTCTCTTGTCTTGTCAACTGATTTTCTATTCCATTCCTTTGTCATTAACAAATTCCTCTCCATATTTCTACTGTTCTACTATTCGGGTCTTCTGAAAGTATTATCCCTCTTGACAATACTATTTTCATTATTTTTGGATTTAGTTGTTCAGAAAATGAGTTTTTATTATGGACTAATTCGTTATTATTAACTGCATAGGCTGCAATTTGTTCCCAATGCTTTTAGATTTATTCTTACCATTTTTTTGTTGATCGGTTTCCATATGGCATTTCTGTGCATTAGAAGGGATAGGTTACTCCGTTATAAATTTTCCCAATTTTCAGAACCTTTTCCTTTGACTTGTGATTAGGTTTTTTGAGCAAAACACTTTTTTATGTGGGCCTGTCTCCACTCCATTAATATATTATAATTGTCTTGCTTTTTGGATAATAAAAAAAAGTAATAATTTCCATTGACAGTTGAATTAGTTCCAATTAGTTAATTGCTAACGTTTTAGCTGAAAACCTATTTGTTTTCAAGGGGTAATTGCCGAAAACTCCAGAGCCAGCGATTCGTCGGACAGTAGGAGACGATCGTCTTCAATGACAACCCGTTACTCGTTATTCGACGCATTGGATTTAGAATACGCTTTACTGAGGGCGGCTGCCAGAGGCAGCGTGGGACCATATTCGTTGAGCGAAAGCTTGCACAAATTAACGTTTACCCAAAGCTTAGCGTTTCCCGCACTGGCGCGTGGACTGGCAGGAAAACGAAGAAGATCTCACACCCAAAATAGCAGCAGACCACTGGATCCGTCAGATACGGGACTGAACGCTTTCGCAAAAGTCATTACAGTACTGGTGCTGGTGTTAGTTAGTGTTTTAGTGTTCGCTGTGGTCTACAAGTTCGTGAGGACGTGAGGAATGTTTCTAGCCCCCGGCGGGGCTAGAAGCGGAAGATTTACACTGAGCAGAAACGATAGTTCGCTCAGAATCGGCATCAATTGAAACAAATTTAAAGATGTAGTTAGGTTTATTACAGACAGAATTTAATGTGATAAGTAACGGGTTGTGATGTGATTAAATAGATATTGTAGTGTGAACGGTTAATTTGCAAACCGTTGCACCAATTTGGAACGTTAATTTCGTCTCCAGTTTCAGTTTTGAGTAAGCGTAAGTAATATTAAATTGTCTAATAAGCCTTGTAATGAATATTAGTCATACGCTTTGAAACTGAATTGCTTGAGAAAGCATTTTAAATTTTTACATTTATTTATACCTGCCACCATGATAGGTCGAACTTACATAAGAAATTATAAAATTGCACAAATATTAAAAGATTCCTTCGACTTAGATTTTATTGAAATTGTCTTTTGTAACGATAATCTTTTCAAGAAAGGGGAATTCACTAGATGAAGTTGTTCATGAGTTACCCAACCGAAAAACAAGGTATTTGCTTAATGTAGAAGGCAATGTGTGTTCCAATCGCAGTGATCCATCTGTCCTGAACGTTGTAAAATAAGAACAATCGAAGTTAGAAATTCTTTCAGGTATTAGGCAAGCGAAATTAACAGTTCCAAATGATGCACTGGACCAGTTGCAACAAATAAAAGTGTGTGCTTGTCAGAAAGTACGTTTTTGTAAGGCCATGTCGTGATCTGTGTATTAATTTGATTGTTGGGCTGTTCATATATATTGCGCCAGTGTACTCAAACATAAGCGAAAACTAACAGTTATTTGAAGATCAACTTACTTTTAACATACTTTATTAAATTGAACACTACCTTGAAGCAAGTGACATTTATTGTGATTCAAGGGCAAATGAAAACCATCGCAACGAACAAAATTCTTGTTAAATTCACTTGTTCCAACCCACAGTTGATTTGCAGTGTGTTTTCCTGATGTACTTGCGCGATTTTTCTGAGATCTATTGTTAAAATTATTTAAACAATTTGTACGTTCACATAATCATATTTTCATTCACTTCACAAAATTTCAGTATAAATAAACATTAAAACTCCTGTCGATGACATTTTGAAATGTTTGTTAAAGGTTTTCATTTGAGGATTCATATCTGATTTCTATTAGAGATTACAGCCTTCAATCATTTTGTTATATTTTGTAGCCACATGTTTGCTACCGAACCCAGCGAAAATAATCGAAACAAAACTGGTTGAAATGAAAGCCTACAATGTTGGTCAATTAAAGAAATTTTATGTCTTGTGACTCTTGAAATTAAAAAATCTATTGCATTGTACTACACCAGAAATATTAAGCTAATTTTATTATCAGATATTTTACCTCACGAGATTCTTTATTGTGATGAATCACTTCAAATATGAAATTAATGTTAAGTAAGTTTATCATAATCTTTGTGATTACGATTTATATTAATAATTTATGTAAATAAATCTTTCTGTTTGTAACCATCGACTTTGAATTCGAGGTTTGAAAAGTTCCGGTTTTGGATTGAAAATAAAATAAACTTCGATTTAGAGCAACTAGGTTTATTGTTACTAATAACACCTTAGTCTACACAGTTGGCAAGATTTCTTTAAGTGCGTTTCGAAATTATATGCAGTTACTTAGCGTTTTTATTTGATCCCGTAGTTTAAACATAAATATTGATCAAAAAATATCAGTACCAATAATTTAGGTGTAGGTCAGGTTGTACAGTAAGCAGATTTGCCATATATAAAAAAGGATTTAGGTATAAATATCGTTCTGAGCATATCGATACAGAGTTTCATTTATTTTTAGTTTTAGTTAGTTAGTTTCTACGTTTTAACACGTCAGGTTTTTGCTACCAATATTTAACTTCGGCGTTGTTGAGCTTGTAACAACGGCTATTAAAGTTATATTTTAGAGTTAAACAAGTAAAATTATAGATTTGCTTTCGATTTCACTAAAAACCTGTAAAAATTACTTTAGGATCTCTTAAATCATTGCTAGGTCTGCTATCTTACAGTAATCAAATTAAGCTAAAAATTGAAAAATATATATAATTGAGAGTTCTAGTTAATTGCAGATGTACTAAAAATACAATTTTAAAGTTCTCATTAGACATGTAATCAATAAACTCTCTACGATGTTTTGAATATATAGTAATATAGTAATCCCCTCCATATTTCAATGGCTCAATGAATTTCCTTTTGTCTTTTGAATTTAATGTGTTTGCAACCACCATTGACGGTAATGTACATATCAATCCCAAAATGACTTTAAAAACGTGTTAAAACTTCTATATTGAGTATTGATTATTCAAGATTACTACGTATGTATCTAATGGAGAGCAAACAACCCTTTAGAAAATTAATTAAAAAAAACAACTACGAAATCATTACGATATGTTAAACAATCATAAAACTCGAATCCTAGATCCTATTGGAGATCCATGATTGTACCTTGTCCCTAGTTGGCTCCTATTTCAGCTGTATACAACTTAGTACTATAGGGGTTTTACGATGAACGTTTTTAGATGCTTCCAGATCAATTTATTTATATACATTCTCGCGTTTTATATTTTTTTACAAACATCTTCCCCGCCTTGCTTATTTAGGAATTATTCACAACCTAGTACAGCTAGTTAGAATACGTAAAATTCTCGCGTTAAATAATCACCTCAATCAATATAATAGAAATTAGGAATCGCAGTTACTCAATAGCAAAGTGGCTTCATTCGAATCCTTCGACTGGTTTTCGTCCTCCTTTTGTTCCTGCTCAGAGTTTTCCGTTTCAAAATTGAAAACTTCGTCGTCTACTTTGTCGGAGCATTCAATAACAGTTTTCTCGTCCGACTTCGACGATTCGTCTTCTTCGTTTACAGTTTCCATGGTTGAGACTCCGATTTCAGGAGAGACAGGAACCGTTGGCGGAGTGATCTTACCGGCCTTTCCTAACAGATAGTATGTCATTAGCTGGCCTTTGCCTTTTACCGCCACCAAGCCTCGTTGCTCGAACTGATAACCGAACGCCTGCAGAATCTGGCAGGTCTCTTCGGTAACCTATAATCGACCAACGTACAATTTAACAGTTTGATGATAGATGGCGCCATCAGGTTGCTTACTTGAATGCATCCGACTTTGCCAGTGCTTTCCATCCTTGAGGCAACGTTAACAGTGTTACCCCAAATATCGTAATGGGGTTTGCGAGCCCCTATAACCCCAGCAGTGATAGGACCGTGGTTTATACCTAACTTCAACACGAAGTGGTTGAATGACTGCTCGTTGATGCTCTGCAACGCTTTTTTCAAATCAAGCGCGAATTCTACTAGTAGGGCGAGGTGAGCCCATCTAATTTCGGTTGGGTCGTCGGGCTAAAACAGGAAAAAATCCTATTGGACAAGGTATGAGTGTTTTCAAAGAATCATTAAGGTAAACATTATTATTGTTTTGAAAACTACTATACCTTGAGTCTATCGTACCTAACCACTAAGAAAACAAGATTGATTTCGAAAAATCGTAGCTTTGCGAATCGTCTGCACCGTACTCCCATTTCTCCTGGTATATGGTTTTTTCCAATAGAGTAAGTGGTTTTCAAGAAAATACTTGTTTTCTGAAACCATGCAGTACGGGGTAATACTAAATGACGTCATCGCGTCTAGATTGAACGTTAAGATAATTTTGAGACAGGAGAACCAGTTCTGTTCTTAACTTCAGGCAGTCAACTCGCTTTTGTTGTTATAAATCGTTCCCGTTTTTAACGACAATAAAATTCTTTAAGCAAATTAAAGTTTTTTAAAAAAGTGTTTCTCTGATCAACAAACGTAACTGGCGCAGTCGGAGCGGATTTTTCGGTAATTTCGCAAATTTCGGACAAAAGTCGCCGAAGCGATTTATCGACGAACCGTAAATTCAAGTTCGGAACAGTCAAGAGACATCGTGATCTTCGAAGAGGACAAAAATCGCCTCCGGATTGAACTATGTGCAGGGGAACAGGACCAACTTCGTCCAAATTAGACTAGGAAGACCTGGGAGCTAGAACACATCTCCGGTTCCTATAGGCGTTAACCTAGGAAGAAGAAAAGAAAAAACAAACAGTCGAAGAAACCAAGCAATGAAAATCCCATCACTCTAAGTCGAATATTCCAATTTCCATTTTCCATTGTTCGTGTAGTAATTGTAGTTATAAGAGATTCGTTTAAACCTTAATTTTATCCTCGTACTGTTTTATGTCAATAACTTTCGATAGTATAGACGAATTGATCCGAAATTTTCTAGACATTAGCTTAGACGAACAACTTGATAATACATCTCGAAGTAATAAAATGGCATTAAATATTCCTCTAAGATTCCAAACTGATAACATTGCCCCATTTGATGGCAATCCGAAATTATTAATTAGATTTGTTACTTCTTGCGAAAATCTTTTACTAGCTTGTCGTAATGCACCAGATCAAAATAATGTAAATATAATAATTCTGGATGCAATTAGAAGTAAATTATGTGGTAGAGCCGCTGATTTGATTTGTAGCCGAAGTGAACTAAATTCTTGGCAATTAATTAAGAACGTTTTAATTCAAACGTTTAGTGACCAGAGAAGTATTGATTGTTTGATTCAAGATTTAATTAGTATGAAACCGTTAAAGTCTGAAACACCTCTCCAATTCGGCATGCGAATCCAGGATGCTAGAAGTCTTTTGTTTTCCAAATTGAGTTCAGAAATTCAAGAAGTAAATGAACGAAATATTAAAATTAGACATTATGATGATTTTGCATTAAAAACTTTTATTAATGGATTACCATACCATCTGCAACTAGTAACTCGATTAAAGAATCCGGATAATTTAGAACAAGCACTGGCCTATGTAACTGAAGAAGAAAATTTCGTATATTTCAAAACAGGTCATAATAGCAATTTAGCTAATACAATGTATAAACCGCAACCAAGAATGAATCAAAACTTTGTGAGAACGCCAATGAACCTATTTAGACCCCCCCAGTCTCAAAATTTTCACAATAACCAATCTAATTTTAAAAATATTCTAAATCAAACTCCTCAAATGCCAAATCAAAACCAATTAAACTATAGACCAATGTTTAGACCATTTCAAAGTCCGCCACAGAATCAACCAAGACCTATTACTTGGCAACCATATAATAGACTTCCTAATCAACAACATCCGATCTTTGCTAATCAACGTGCAAGTGCAATATTAAGACATCAAACCGCTAGAAACCAAAATATTCCGAAAAATAATCAATCAGAACCTATGGATACGAGCTCAGGAAATACACGTATGTTTCCGAAACCTAATTTTGTAGCTCAAGAATTATTTGCACAATCCGTGACAAGTAATGGTAATATTCCTGATCAATCGACATCAGAATTAAATTATTCCCCTATACAAGGAAACACAACCCAACAATTTGAAAATTATGAAAATACAGTGAAAATATTAATATAGCAGAAACAAACTTTATTGATAAAATGGAGATTGAAGAAAATTGTTTAAGCACTTCCCAAGATAATATTTTGAAACAAAATTTAAAAAACTTTAGATTAAGTCACTGTAATTCGGAAGAAAAAAATACAATTCGAAAATTATGCTTAGAATATCGAGACATTTTTTATTGCGAAGAAATTCCTCTTAGTTTTACTAATAAAATAAAACATAAAATTAAAGTAAAAGATGAGACCCCTATCTATACTAAAAGCTATCGTTTTCCCGAAGTACATCGCGAAGAAATAATCTCTCAGATTAATAGGATGCTCGAGCAAGGCATTATAGAACATTCTGATTCACCTTGGTCTAGCCCAATTTGGATCGTCCCAAAAAAAACTGACGCATCGGGAAAGAAAAAATGGCGTTTGGTAATTGATTATCGTAAGTTAAATGAGAGAACAATCGACGATCGTTACCCGATCCCAAACATAGCCGATATTCTCGATAAATTAGGTAAATCAAATTATTTCACCACTTTGGATTTAGCTTCTGGCTTTCACCAGATCGAAGTAGACCCCAATGATGTTTCTAAAACCGGATTTTCCACACCTCACGGACATTTTCATTTTAAAAGAATGCCTTTCGGTTTGAAAGGAGCACCAGCCACCTTTCAAAGGGTTATGGACAATATCCTTAGAGGTTTACATAACGAAATTTGTTCCGTCTATTTTGACGGCATAATTATATTCTCGGTTTCGCTCGAAGAACATATCTAAGACTTAGACAAATTTTTAATCGTTTGAGAGAAGCTAATCTAAAGGTACAACTTGATAAATCGGAGTTCCTTAGGAAGGAAGTTCAGTACTTAGGACATGTTATCACGCCTAATGGTGTCAAACCAAACCCAGATAAAATACACGTAATTAAGAACTTCCCAATACCCACTACTCAAAAAGAAATTAAAAGTTTTTTAGGCCTACTCGGTTATTATAGACGCTTTATTAAAAACTTTGCGAAATTAACTAAACCCCTAACTCTTTGTCTAAAAAAAGAAGCGAAAGTAATTCATTCGCCCGAATTTATACAATCTTTCGAAACTTGTAAAGACATGTTAATAAACTCGCCTATTCTACAATACCCTAACTTTGGAAAATCATTTAACTTAACTACCGACGCTAGTAACTTTGCTATGGGTGCAGTGCTCTCCCAAGGAGACGTTCCTAATGATAAACCTGTGGCTTATGCTTCTCGAACATTAAATAATAGTGAAACTAAGTATTCTACAACCGAGAAAGAACTGCTAGCAATAGTGTGGGCCTGCAAACATTTTAGGCCGTACATGTACGGAAAATTTTTTTAAAATCTATACAGATCACCGACCATTGTCATGGCTTTTTAATCTGAAAGAACCTAATAGTAAGTTAGTACGTTGGCGACTTCGTCTCGAAGAATTTGATTATGAAGTTATCTATAAGCCAGGAAAATTAAACGCGAACGCCGACGCCCTATCGCGAATTCAAGTTAACGCCCTTGAAAGTGAAAGTATATTGAATGAACCTGGAAATATAAATGAGGACATAGTTGACTATTTACGACACTTATCCGAAAATGTCATAAACGATAACCCGATAGCACCAAGTACAAACCAACAAAATTTAAATATCGATCACCAAACCCATGTCGAACTAATAGATACTGTACATTCTGACAGTAATCAAGAAGCAACAAATGAAGGAATCCGAATTTTGGACGAAATTATAAATAATAAATCACACCAAATAATTGTTACACCCAATATACATAACGAATTAATAATAAGTCAAAACGATTTCCAAAAACTTAAAATTCTGGAAGTAAAAATTCCAAAACATAATGAAACCTTAATTCTAGATTTATTGAAAAAACACACATCTCTAGGAACTAAATTTTATATTTACTTTCACGACAACACCCAGTATAGCGAATTTAATAATGTGTATCGTAAATATTTTTATGAGAAAGGACTAGAACTCATTAAATGCACAAAATTAATAAATACGGTTAGGGAAAAGGAAGAACAGATAATGCTAATCAAATTTCATCACGAGGGAAAAACAAATCATAGAGGTATTATAGAAACTATTGAGCATTTAAAAAAGAATTATTGTTGGCCAGGAATGAAACATGATATTATTAATTATATTAATGCATGCGAAATATGTCAGGTCGCAAAATACGCTCGAGACAAACCTTACAGTCCATTAGCTTTAACAGAAACCCCGAGCAAATCATTTCAAATTTTACACATAGACGTTTTTAAATTCGACGGTCAGAATTACTTAACAATAATTGATAAGTTTTCTAAATTAGGGCAAGCATTTAAAATTACTAGCAAAAATGCAATTGAAATTTGTAACTCTTTAATGCACTATTTTACATTCTACGGAATACCAGAAAAAATTATAGCTGATAATGGTACCGAATTCAATAACGAAACAGTAAAAGAACTGCTAAAAATTCATAAAATATATATTCATTTTACTACCCCCGGTCATCACGAAAGTAACTCACCAATAGAACGTTTCCATTCTACGCTATTAGAACATTTAAGGTTGTTAAAAAATAGATTTAAAAACGAAACAAATCTTATGGAATACGCTATAGTCGCTTATAATAGTTCCATACATTCAGCAACTAAATTTACGCCTTATGAACTAATATTAGGGCATACAGCATCTCGGGCCCCCAAGAATTACTAAACAATACGTTCTATTCTGAATACGTTAATAATCATAAAACTAAACTGCAATCCGTATACCAAAAGGTTACCGAAAATCAAGAAGGACAAAAGCAAAAGATTTTGAAACGTCACAATACCAAAGGACCAGAACAATTCCAGTTTAAAATAGGGCAAAAGGTTTATAAAAGTAACGATAGAAGAAATAAAAAAC